TGAGACCTCCCCCCCAGCAGCAGGTCTATGTGAGTGCGGGATGGCACCAGCTCCTGGGGAGGGGGCTTTCCCCCCACCCCCAGCCCTCCACCCCCCCTTCCCTAGGGTCCCCCTTTCCAGGATTCCCCCCACCCCCTGCAGGGACTGCAGCCCAAGAGTGCCTTACCTCCATGAGAAGGGCCCTGACGGTGGACTTCCCCATGCCGAACTGGTTGCCCACTGATGGGTAACTGTGTGGGGTGGCAAGCTTCCAGATGGCAATGGCGACTTGGTTTTCCAGGGGGATGGTGGGCTGCAGGTGGGTGTCACGTCATTGGAGGGCAGGGGCCAGCCAGGCACACAGCTCCAAAAAGGTGGTCTTCTGCATGCGGAAGTTTTGGAGCCACTGCTGGTCGTCTCACTGCTTAATGCCCAGGAGGTCCCACCAGTAAGAACTGGTGTCCGGCCTCCAAAACCGTCTCTCCACTGTGGGATGCGGTTGTAAGGGTCTTGCTCCCGCACACAGGGAGAGGGTCTCAAGGATGAGCTCGGTGTCGAGCTTGTGGAGGGCCATGAAGGCAGCCTGCACAAACTGTTTCAGAAACTGCAGCATGGCCGTGTGGGGCCATCAAGTGCCCAGAGGCAGCTCTGGCTCCATGGCAAAACGAAAAATGCTGTGGCGTCCAAAAAGCTGGGCAACAAGAGCACGCACTGCTAAAGCTTTGCTGTCCCTCCGAGAGGTAGGCAGGCACGAAGCAGAAGCAGAAAAACGGCTGTCCAGGGGGGTCCCTTTAAGCATGTCTCTGAGCTAGGCTTCGGCAACAGCACTTGGAAGCAACTGCTGACCTAATGCCCTGCCTGAACTGGTTCCTGGTGGCCTTATATTCGAAATAGCATCCAGTCAGTGTTTTATCTTTCGAAAAAGCAGATCACTTTTTTGTTGCACTTTTGCTGTGTAGACGCTCTCTTTCGGAAGAAGTTTTTCCGGAAGATCTCTTCCGGAAAAGCTTCTTTCAAAAGAAGCTCGCAGTCTAGACATAGCATGGGGGAAGAGCCGAGAGGAGGGGTGAGTGTTCCAGCTCTCTCCTGTGCTGGCACCAGTGTCTCACAGCAATCTCTGGGCTATTTATTGGTCGATGGTAGAAAGAGCCAGGGGACAAGGGCCATGGTGCAATTCTGGTGCCAGGGGAGCTGGTCTGAGCCAGACTGGGGAGATGACAGCATGGCTAGAATTGCTCTTCTCCCCCTGGCCTCTGAATACATCTTAGTGGGGGGGACGGGGACTAAGTGCAGGTGGGTTAGTTTCGTTGGAATAATTGGGGTCAGAGTACAGAGATCTCTGCCTGCCTGGTCCCCTGGCAACAACCAGAACTGACAAACTGCTTAACCTGCTCCTGAGGTTCCTGCAGAAGGGACATAATCCGATTCACTACACTAATCGGGCTGTCAGTGTACCCAAAGCCCGGTTCCCCTTCCCATTAGTGGAGGGAGTTTCTATAGCCCCCTCTCCCTGAGGGTCACACCAAAGATAACACTATTGGCCCTTTTGGGGAGAAGAAATGCAGTGAACTGGGCTAGGCTAGTGGATTGACTGCTGTTAAATTCCAGTTTCCTAAAAGACAGAACAACACAATCCACAGGTTTGCTGCATCTGCCTCTGGCTTTGACTCTCACATCCAGTGCCCCTGCCCCAAGAACCCAGCCCAGCCTGATCAGCAACTCAGAGACCTGGCAAACTCATACCAGTGCCCAGCAGGGTAGGGCCGTGCTGGAACTGCACCTCAGTGCAGGGCACTCAGCACTCTGCTTGGAAAGGGCAGAGATGCTCAAAATGAGAGGAGTCTGTTGGGGTCAGGACTTTGCCAGCACCAGTGGAGATATTAGTGAGGCCCCGCTCTGTGGCCAGGTACGTGTCCTGTGGCCAGATGTGTCTCTTGAGATCAGGATGATGAAGATGCAATGGTGCCATTGTGGATGCCAGGGTTCCAGGAGATGGGGGGCAGGGACAGGCAGGATAGACAAATTCCCTCCTTACAGACACACTCCTCTACCATTTCAATCCCCTCAAAGTCTTTTTTTATGGACCCGCAAGGGAGAGCAGGTGGAACCACGTAGTGCCTCAGTATTTTGCCCACAAATTGGGTCTAGTATCTGACACACCCTGACACCTCTCCCCATGCTGCTGAAGTGGACTGAGAACAATTTGCACTATCCATGCCCCTGCATCCTGGTACTAACGTTATCATATCGCAGGCTCAGCTAGACTTTTGTTCCCATGGACACGAGAGAGTCCACAGACCAGAACTAGCTTCCAGGTGGGGTGGGACGTGTGAGAGTGGATCATGCAGGCAAGCCCCAAAACTATTTCTGAGCCTGGTATTTGCCTGGAGACCCAACACCCTGCTTCAGGTCACCCCCCCAGCCAGTCACCCAGCCTTCATCTCACATGGGGGCTCCGCTGGTGGATGCTTGCCCCCCAGCGCCCACCTGGCCAGGAGCACAAAGCAGGGAAGTCCATGGCAGTGCAGCAGGGCAAGGCTACTAAACTGGCTAGTATACCCTGTTCCCCACTTGGCTGGAGACTATGGCAGCATCGAACCTGATTCCTCCAGAGCCAGAAGGCAGACCACGGGTGCTGGAGTTTGATGGGTTGGAGGACCCTGGCTCCCAGTGGTGGAGCTGGATGCTACAGAGTCAGTATGGGGGACACGGGCTGCCCAGGAAAGGTGCTGGGG